ACCTTAAACATACGACGATGCTTGATTGAGGCTACACTCAAAACCACGAGGTGAAATTCATCGATATTCACCTCCACATGCTCATAAGATAATGTAGGCTCAACGTCTTTTACTTGGAATCTCTCAATGAACTTAGTTACTCCACGCTGGAAAACATCGTCAGGTAGATAGTTGCCAAAGTCATGAAAGATGGAAATTGCGCAAATCCCGTAATCCTTAGTTTGTGTGGCATGTATTCGTTTAGGCTTCAAGCGCGAAAGAACGTAGAAAATACGTTCACCACCCTGAAAAACAGGAAACACTGTACATTAAAAATTGTCAAATATACAAAAGAAAAAATAATAAATAAAAAAAGAAACCATTTGAAACAAATTAATGACACGCTTATGATGATTATAATTTGCTTTTATCAACTGATTAGATAAAGCATATAGCCTATTAGAACAAAGAGAAAACAGAATATATTGAAAAAAATATATACCATTGTAATGTTTTTCTCACACACCAGCCCAAACTTCTGCATGAGAGATACAAAGAAGTCGAACGTTTCATCTGAAAAATTGAACTCCTTCCATAGGTGTCTTAACAGATGCTCCTCTAGGATCCCCTTGTCCAATCTCCTCCAGGCTTCTCTGTGCTTTGGTTTCTGAAATTTAATAATTTTAGCTCAAAATCCTGCTATGCTTTTATATTAGCCTACAAAAATATATCGCTTTTTGAAAGAAGGGAATAAATAAATGTAAAATTGTGTAAAGTTGAGCTTACCATAAACTTTGGATCGATAACGGTGATTATTGTTTTAAGCATGTCGACTAATTGCATGACATCTAAAACAATAATATCCCTCAAGGCTTTGTCATCAGGAAAGTAAAGAATCTCACCAAGGTCGTGTAAATACTCAAGCAGCACCCTTTGAGCGTCTTGTTTGACCCCACACCGCTCAACCAAAGCAATCACCTGATTAAAAAAAAACACACACACAACAAAAAGTTTAATAATTTTAAAACGAGTGTAAAAAGAGAAACCGGAACTTAAACTGACAAAGACGGTATATTTGCAGGTCAGTGACAAGTTTATTAAATTGTTTTTTGACTGGAAGATAATACTTGACAATAATTAAGTTCACTTTTGGGGTCTTCCTGTTTGTTCTTTTGTGCTTGTTTCTTGCTGTTTCTGTTCTTGCTTAAGTTTATGTTTTAATGAAATGAAAAAGAATAATCACAAGTAAATAATAATTAGACTTAACGCCAACCACCGGGCCTCTAAGCGCTTCACATTATTACCCCTCCCCTCCCCGTCATTGTATCAAGCACATATGGTACACATAGCTGGGAAGAATTCAATATTGTTACAGAGACAAACATAGTTAAGGCGAAATGCACAGCAAGAGGTTGAACCGCCGACCTCAAGGTTAAGAAGCAGAAACACAACCCCAGCACCAAACCACTCTTTCTGTAAATTATCAAATGTCTACCTTTTTGGTTGGTAGATAGATATGCTTTACTTTCAACTTCTGGATTTCCTGTTGAACAAGCAACCACTTTAAAGGTAGTTTTCTAACCATCTTCTTTGCGAACTTTAATATTTGGTCCATGATGTTAGAAGCGTTGCTCTTGGCAAACGGTAAGCTGTTCTCAATAGCAAAGAAAGTAGGGAACACCAATGCTTCATAAGGTTTTCCTTCCAATGCTTTCCGAATTTTATTGAATATTTCTTCAGCCTACATAAAAATATATGTAGCAACAATAAAAGCATAATTCACAATAACATATTAATACGTATTTCTAACATTTGTGTAAGTTGTTCTGTATTTTTATTGAGTTTAAATGTATCAACCAACCAACCAATCAAACAGTCAATCAAACTATCATAATCAATATATATAATATAATATTATAATAGGTAAATCAGTCAATCTAACTTATATATCAATATATCTATTGATTGATCGATTTACAGTGACTGTTTGATTGATTAATGACGAAATTCACAATGGCGACGACGAATGAAAATGAGAAAAACGATGACTGTTATACCGATGTTGATAATGATAATGATGATTACAGAAATGGTGTCACTGAGATCTCTTTATATTACATGGTCTCTAGATCAATTCCATCGCTATACTTATTAAGGTGGGTTGGAGGAGTGATAAGCAATAATTGTATACACTGTGTTTTAGAGAAGACATTAATTATACGGTCCTTCAATTCCATCGCTATACTTATAAAGCGATTTCGTGAGTTGATTTTTAGTACGATTATCAATTGTAATGGTACGGGTTTGGTCTACAGGAGTTAGTGCTTTGAACAGGTCATTCCAATCTTAAAAGCCTTTTGATGGAGAAAGTGTGCCTTAGCAAAGGTTTGCCTATGTCGAAACTAACTCCGGCTATGTATTTACTCAGAAAATACAATAAATAAACTAATAATAAACTTCAATCGTACATTATACCATAATGTATAAAATGCAGTATAACGTCATACCACGTAAATTGCTTCACGTTATACTTAAGGCGTAATTATGCAGCATAACTTATTATCATCAGCTTTCGTTTGTCTGAAATTTGTTTATGATAAATGTTACTTTCTGTCGGATTGTTTTCTTTGAGCATGACGTAGTTGTTTCATAACCTTTCTTTTCTTTTCCTCTTCATTCCCCTCGAGGCTGCCTAAGTGCGTACCAATCACTAGTACTGGCGGTGAAAGTTGCCCATCATCCAATTCTGAATCTCTACTGTTGGTGTAAACTGAACGAATCCAATAAAGAATAAACTGAAGATATGTCATTCGATGTTGATACATTTCACCCTGAAATCAATAATAAAATATCGTACAAAAATAATATATTCTGAGTCGAAACTTGCTGATAAATGTTAAGACGTAATAATGCTTACGGTAGTCGGATCCCTGACATTAGCGGGGGCGTCAAGATCATCTTCTAGGTTAAATACCACACAAACGACGGCAAAAGATACCATGAAAATCTACAAGAAAATTATTCATAATTACTTTTTACTATCGAAAACTGAATGGAATAACTAAAAAATGTTTGTAATTTAATAATAACTATAATTTTGTTTAATTTATTATTTAATATAATAACTTACTCGTTGTATCACGTGATAAATCGGTTGGCCTCCGAAGTCCCAGATGTTCATTATAAAATCGTTGCCAGATTTTTTCCAGTCACTTGTCGCATCTCTCGTGAACTTGAGTACATTCTGAACTTTACTTGCGATGTTTTCTGGGACCTCTTCCATCGATTTTGTCTCTGTCATTTCTTTAATATTTGGTTCGATTTTCGGGGTTCTGACGTCTGTATTTATTGATGATTGCCCTTATTGAAATATCAGAATAAAAATTTTAAAAATGCATATTAAAAGCAAAATGTAGTACAATAATGTTTTCTTTTGTATAGATAATCTATACACATAAGGTTGACTGGTGGTTAATTTCAGAATGTTTATAGTGAAGTCTCCCAGTCAGTGTGAACATTCTTTACTTGCTGGAGTATGTAGGCCCTACATAGCGCATGATATAGCGACCTCATGTGCTGTCCCAGGTTGTTTTGGTTTTATTTTATGCAAACGCTTTTATTCCATATGCCACTATGTATAATTGTACTATCTTATGCTGCGTATTGTTTTTAAGAAGTGCCGGTAAGCCTATGCCTCGCGGAGCCCTCTTTGTGAAACGTTGCATAAAAAATGAAGTATAAATTAAAATCTTAGAAAACAGAAAACATGAATGTCTTACCCCTATTGTATTTAGTCTCTGCTTTAGCTGGTGATAACAGGCCCTTGAAATAAATAAACAAAAAGAAATAAGAAATATCCTAACTATTAAGTACTTGCAATTACATTCATTAAATTAACAAAAAAAAAAAAATATATATATACATAAAACTTCACTAAATAGTTAGTGTGTAAATCTCACTTGTTCTGTTACTTCTACGTTCTCCTCATTTGCCTTTTCAAATATTTTCTTCGCTATTGAATCCGCCATTTTCGCTTCATACATGCTATTGGTGCCAGCTGTTGGGAGTAAATAAATATTATTATTATATTATATTAAAATGATATATAATTTACTACATGATTAATTTTCTTAGTTCAATAATTGTATTTAGACTTACCTGTTGGTGAATGGTGGCCTGCATAATTTATTGACTAATTTACAAAATCTCAACTGTGCAGAGAATTGACTTGTGATAGGTACAAAAAATAATTTGGGATCCCAACCTCGATGCCGGGGTATCAATCCTCAGTCTATATGAGCCACATGGCTCGGCAAGAATTTACTTTACAAAAATGTTTACTTACATTGATCAGGTGATGTTTCCTTCCAATTCAATTCATCGTGCATTTCGTGGGTACACACCGTTGTGTTGGCAATTGCGTCCGTAATACCCTCATTTGGATCAAAACTAAAGCAAAAAGAAATTATTAATCTAAAGATATTGCTACTACAGAAAGCATAATATAGATACACATTACTGTACAGAACGTACATATATAAATTAATATATAAATAAATGTGTAGAAATGGATTGATATTAATGAATGATACATTCATTTAAGTTGTTGATTATTGAATTTAATACAAAGAATATTTGAATTACAAGTTCCTTAAAAAAGCATCATTGAAGGCTTTAAATATTCCGACTGGTTAACTAACGTAGCGAAAGCAACCACTGAATATATTTAGCTTACGTATTCCTTAAAAATGACTTGATAGTAGAAGTCTTGCCGACTCTCTCGAGGCCCATAAAAACTGTCCTTCCTTGATTAACCTCTGCTTCTCCCTCAGCTAGAGCATCATTAAAAGCTTCCATTGCTTCGTGCCCACGTGCCAAGATTTCCATTGGAACCATCCCCGCTTTAAGTATAAATATTTCTGATTTACACATTGAATTACCACATGAAACTCGTTAGATATGAAAAAAAAAAATTGATAATATTATTGAGCCCTGCAATATCGTTATTTACTAGAGAGGTCTTTAACACATCGCATTTCTTTCCCTATAACAATATTCTTATCAATGGTACAACGATTACTTTGATCATACCCATTTGTGATTACGGACAGCAGTTTAACCCAAATAAAAGCAACTTGAAAACAAAAAAGAAGGATTAAAACTGATTTACTCCAAAAGGAGGAGGAATAAATTACGATGGGGAACAAAAAAATATAGGCCTAGAGTATTAGTTTTATTTTCATCATTGAATAAATGTTATACAGTATTATATTCAATGATATACTGAGTGATATTGCTATCATTCTGTGGGAATCAAGCATAAAAAAATGCTGTAAAACATCACAAAGCGCAACCAACAGCTGCCTGGATCACTAATCAAAATACTGTATATAATACCACTAACATTGGGTTTCTTATTTACTGTGTTTAAACGTAAGTACAGTACATAACATACACTGTACGATACACATAAATACAATAGCAAAATAGATGACACATAAAAATGAATGTACATTTGGTGTTTCATAAATTTCCTACTAAATATACACAATGCAAATAAATATACTACTATGAATTTCAAAATGATTTATATAAACAAAAACAATTAATTAAATATGAACTATGTTGGTATGAACAGCTCACTTTGTAAGAGATGCATGAGCATTTCTTTCTGTTCTTTTCTTTTTCTAGAATCGTACTCCCTACATTCGTTATCCACATACACGTCAGCTGGAGTTTGACCACGCTGCAACGACAATCACATAATCATACCTCATGAAATTAATTAATATTAATCAAGAAAAACAATTACATTAAAGCTTCAACAAATGTTACACAAAAAAAAAAAACAACAAACAACTGAATTGAATAAATTTACCTATCAATTTAATTAATCTTTAATTCTACATTTGCATCTTGTAGAGATTCATGTTAACAATAAAACGCTGAAGAAAATCAATGGTTGTTACAACGATCGTGAATAAATATTTCGCCTGAGTGTATAGGCCAAAATCCTATTATCCTTAGTCGCCACTACCATATCGACATTATGGTTGCCATAAATCATTTTAGTATGCTCCTTATCACCATCATTATTATCAAAATATTCATAATAATAATAATAATAATAATAATAGGCCTAATAATAATAATACTAATAATAATAATAATAATAATAAAAATAATCTTCATCATTTATCTACTTTACCTGATTTTTTAACTTGGCATTTCCTCCATACGTTAATAAATAACGTGCTGCATCTGTGTGATCTCGGTATGAATGGTTAGCTCGTAACAACCAGTGAAGTGGAGTATTGCCGTCCTGTAACACAATTGAAAATAGTGTTAATCAGTGAGAGCTCATAATCATACAAATGATTGAAAGCATAATGTGAATAATAATCCAGACACAGTCAACACCTCTGTAAACAAGAAAAATGATGCCATCTAAAACATTACAGTTAAAATTTAGGTAAATATAACCAACTTGTACTTTGTACAAAATACATTTTTCATTACAATTTTCATTCATTACAATAATTTAAAAGTACTATCATGCTATACTAAAAATGTCCTTTATGATGATTATTCAATTTATTTTATTGCTGCATTTGTCATCATAGGAAATCAGGCCAAACCAAAAAAGTTATTGTGTTGGCTACAACCAATCGAACCAAAATGTTCGAAAATTGAGGGTCATCATTTTATTTTATTTTATTACTTACTACAATCAAAGAGTATAAATAGAACAAGAGAGCAAAGTCCCGTTCGTAAAAACGTCATGCCTGTGTAGGACGCCAACTAACGGTTGTATATTCTTTTTATTACCCAGTGCAGCGCTGCGCATCGCGGTAGAAGTACGCCCGCTATAAACTCAGTAAGCAGAAAACAAAAGCACTGTATCTTGTGGAGAACAGATAAACAGGCAAACATACAGTGCGCGGTGCAGTACTGGGTAATAAAACATATACAAGCGTTAGTTGGCGTCCTACACTAGCTGCGTAGAGCGTATCGTTTTTTTACGCTCCCAATGAGCGTTGTTGGCTCTCTTGTTCTATTTATACTCTTTGCTACAATGAAAAATATATTCAATGAGTTAAGAAATGTGGAATAAGCTTATCTTGCAACGGTAGGCGATGCAACAGTGTTATGCGATTATTTTACTCTTCAATATAGATTTTAAAATCGTGTTTGTTGTATTTTTAATATATTTTCTACTTTTTAGGCATAAACACATTATCGGTCAAAAAAAAAAAAAAAAGAATTTTTTTAATGCCATTATCACACAGCATTTAGGCTACATGGGGAAATGCATTGATAATAATGCTACTACTATAGATAATAACACGAATACTAATAGATGTGTTTATTTATAAATTATATATTACCAAAATACTGATATATTATAGAGAAATAAAAAATATGACAATGGCAGTAACAACAGTAATGATAATAATAATGACAAAACAAACTTCATTTATAATAAAGTTTATTTTGGTCAATAATGCGTACTGTAATAAAATTAAAATAATAAAGTTTATGCTCGTATAATGTGTTTTTATGCATAAGTTTAACCTTCGTATATTATAATATAAAACTACACTGATTGTTTTATATGGTAAGTCAATCACTCTCTACTGTACTGCTTATTCAACCTGTTCTTGTAGCGGTCGTCGATTGTTTTGATCACTACACATTAGTTGTGCGTATGCCAATTGTGCTGCAGTACGCACTAACACTAATCAAGTTAATTGTATTACATCAGTGTGTTTACATTAGACGACGATGTGTATTTTATAGTTTGACCTACTTGATTATTTGGATAAAGCAAAGCCCATATACACACTTTCAACTGAAGAAAAAAGTGCATCCTAATGCATGCTAGATGCATGCTAATGCTTAATTAATTATAAAACTTATACTAAAGAGAAGAAAATATTATATAAACTATCATTAAAAGTTTACCCTAAATTTCAGACTTGTGGTTCCTGAATTATGTCAAGGAGGTAGTAGGTTGAGTCTAATAAATACCCGTAGTAAACATACAGTGGAATTTAACCTTTCTTCCTATTCAAATCCTAATAAATTAACTAAAGCTTGTCAAAAAAGTGGCCAGGTTGAAACCTTGCTGTATGTTTTAACTGTTTTCTGTACAGCCTTTTTAATTGTTCATGCTTTGTCTCGCGTACACATATACTTAGGCTAGACTACATAGCCCGGCCTAGCCTAAGCCTACATACATATGTAGAAATAGGCCTATGTAATGCAAAATGTAATCATAATATTGTGTGTACAATACTAATAGAAACAAAATCAATTCCAAAAATGGCTGAAAAAAAGCTGATTTTCCGAAATTTTAAACACGCTTTTTACTTTGAGTGATTCAGAAAAATTCATTCGCTTGCTATCACAACATGGACGCCCTATTTCAAACAAGAAATTTTGATTCAGAATCATTAATTTCCTTGGCTTTCACTCAACGGTTAAAACCACAATAAAGCAATTGAACATTAATAAAAGTAATAAATACACAGTATTTTACAACCATAATTATATTTAATATTAAATATTTAGTTATAATTTTATGAGTAATTTATTAATTACATAATGACGATTTGTCATTCACTGTTTACAATGAATAATGTGTTGTTTCCTATACCAAAGATACTAGTATCTTTGCCTATACGTACCTTGTCTTGCCAATTCACATTGCCTGCAGAAATCCTGAGTGCTGCTCTCAGTTGCTCAGCGTAGCCGAGTGCCACAATGCGATGTAGAATACAATCACGATAACCATACTGAACCTACACAATGAACAAGGAATATGAAAACAGAGAATATACAACACATCATCTCTTTAAAAAAATATATTTTAGGTCATTATACTTTTTATTGATTTTTTCTATAAAAGTGTAATATTTATATTCAGTGCACATTGACAACTCGAACGAGTCTAAACATGAATGTGAATTTTCTATTTAAAGCAGTTTTTCAGCAAATTTTATTGGTTCGTGGGCGATTCAGAATCATTCATTTGTTTGGCTTTCAATCAACATGGACGCCCTATGTTTTGTACAAGTTAAAATCACCACCTCCTAAAAAATATTTTTTTAGCTTATGTATTTTTTTCGAATTTCTTATTGAAAGTTTAATTACTCATAATCAGTGTTCAATACAGATCAAAACAAGATCAAACATGACTATGATTGTTTTATGTAAAACTGATTTTTCAGTAATTTTCAACACCTTTATTTTGGTTGTGAGCTGCTTCTCTTCCTCATTCAAGGCGCAATGACTGTATATTTGCACGACCACCGTGCGGGAAATTTTAACAATAAACAATCAACATTGATCATAAAATACAATAAAATATCATATTTATAGGGTGGATGATGATTAAGATATGTTTTAAATGTAATAAGTTGTTGTTGTTAGGTAAGAATTGATGTAGAGTGGTGTATGTTATGTTGTGTATAGATGCTGTGTTGTTGTATTTTGTGTGTTGATGTCGTAATTGTAATGATACATAATTCTACTCACCTCGTCCACGTAGTCCACGGCTTCTACCGTCGCTGATTTTAAACTCTCACTGATGACATCACGTGGTGGGCTGTGCAACACAATCATTCGATATAATAACGGGCGGCCGAACTACGAAAACAACAAAATACGATGATAACAAAACACATTCAACTATCACACATACACAAAATATCACATATAAACACAACTTAATCACATCATAATTACATTAAATAATCACAATCAATTAAATATTCAAATTTTATTACAAATTAACTAACTTTTTAAAGCTAATCGTTTAAAAATCGTAAATTTTATCATTTTTTTTCTGAACGCTTTTCCCTATTCTTTTGCATTGAAAAATTTTTATGTTAATTTAGGGTTTTGTTCTGATCATAATTTTTTAGGAATTTTGTATTTTTAACACTCTAGATATATTTCTTTTGTATAAAGGTTTGAAAAGAATACAGACAATGATATGTTTTATCCACTAGTTTAAATTTTTCTTCATCATTAGGCCTATACTGACTTCAGAGAAAATTGCCTATTCTTTATCATTAGATACATAAATTCTGTAGACCCATCTGTTTGGAATCATATTTTTTTTGAAAAGCTAAATTTTTAAGATCATATTTGACAAAAGCTATATTTTTAAGATCATATTTGACTTTCTCTTGAGTAGAGATTTAAAACTAATCCAAACACATATATGTTTTAACGACTAATTAACGATTTTACCAAGCTTTCAACCTATACTACTTTCAGAAAAAATTTGCCTATTCTTTATCATTAGATACACCAATTCTGTAGGCCCATCTGTTTGGAATCATATTTTTTTTCAAAAGCTAAATTTTTAAGATCATATTTGACTTTCTCTTGAGTAGAGATTTAAAACTAATCCAAACACATATATGTTTTAACGACTAATTAACGATTTTACCAAGCTTTAAACCTATACTACTTTCAGACAAAATTTGCCTATTCTATATCATTAGATACATAAATTCTGTAGGCCCATCTGTTTGGAATCATATATTTTTTGAAAAGCTATATTTTTAAGATCATATTTGACTTTCTCTTGAGTAGAGATTTAAAACTAATCCAAACACA